AAAAAGCAACAACAACAACTCTGTGTAAAAGCAGCCTTAAAAGGATTATGGCACTTTTCAGGCTAGCGTTCCACTGCTGGGTAGAAATGTATTGCCTTGAGAATTAGGACAGTTATTAACCAAGCTAACCTGAAAAATCTTCTCCAGTTGCCATACGGTGTTTTCCAGAATGATTCACTTGACTTTCATTTCCCTAAGCCTGGATTTTGTTTATTTGTTTTCATTGAGGAAAGAACATGGTTCAATCTGCCCTGAAAGGCAGGACCACTGTGCACAGTGACAGGAAAGGGGCTACTGGGTGTTTCTTGCAAGATCCCAAGGATTCTGAGGTTTGAAGAAATGCAGAAGACATTAGAAATGGGTAGCCAAGATCCCCAGCTTCGAAGGCAGGGTGCGGTCCTGTCTGAGAGTGTACTGGCAAAGGCAGTAATCTACAAGAATGTATATATAACTCCATCTGAGAGATCTGCAACAACCCCTAATGAGTTTCTGGCACTTTGCAGATTGTGAGTTTTCCCCTAAGGGGATGAGTGGTGTCCTTACTTTGCTGCGTCCTCACCATGAAGCCCTTCCCTTAACTTTCACTCCTTGTACACGGCTGGCTCTTGGCACCAGACAAGCTACCAATCTGGCAGAAAGTGATGGCTGGACAAATGTAGCCCAATCCCTGGTTCTAACTACTGAGCATGGCTAATTCATCCCCCAAGAGTCATTTGGGAGTCACAAAGAGCAAATTAATTACACTCCGATGAGTTTAAGCAGCAGCAATAAGAAGAAGGAGAGGTAAATAACACAGAGATTGAACCTGAAAAGGACTAGGGGTGGGAAAACTGTGTAGAACATACATAGGGTAAAGAATCTGCGCACAGATTAAATTTGATTGAAAGCTGGGAAAAACAAGTTGGTTCCTGTTAGAAGATCACAGAATGTCCTGGCCCCCTTGCTGTTAATGCAATTACAAGGTATGCTTGTACAATCACTGAAATAATAAAACATTGAAAGGGTGTGGTTTGTGGAACTTTGAGCAGGTTAGGTTCCCTTTGAGGATGTGGGGCCCGGGAATTTAATCTTGTCAGGGGCTCAAGGAGCTGCCCAGAGCGCTGCCAGCGAAGATCCCAGCTATTCTAGGATCTCAAAGTGTACAGTTTTTAATGACTCTTCATGCTCCTTACAAGTAGAGAAGAGGAGGGAGAAGAATGCAGAGTAAGCATGTAGTGCCAGTCAAAACTGGAACCGAGGACAGACGGAGTAGAAGCACAAGGCGAGGTCCATGGTAGGGAAGTTTCACCCACAGCATTATGCTCCTTCTCTGCAAGTGTGTTAAGTAGGCAGCAGGCTTTTACAGCATTCGAATCTAAGTACTGGCATTCAGCAAATGGTCGTTGAGAACTAAGGCCTAGCTTAAAATTCTCAAATTCTAGTATAAGCGTCATAGGAGAGGGGCGTCTGGGTGGTGCAGTCAGTTAACTGTCCAACTCTTGGTTTCGGCTCAGCTCATGATCTCAGGGTCGGGAGATCAAGGCCCAAGTCGGGCTCTGTACCCAGCGCAGAGTCTACTTGAGATTCTCTCTCCCTCTCCCTCTGCCCCCCCAACTTGTGTGTGCACACTCTCTCTCATAAATACATACATACATACACACATAAAAGAATCATAGGAGGAACTTGTTTGAAGTGCAGACTCCCAGGTCTAGTCATTAAAAATTCTGATTCAATAACTTGGGCTTAGGGTCTAGGTACCTGCATCAGGCAGCTCCTGTGATTTGAGGTTGGTGGCTCTTAGACCTGGTTACTTTGTAAAAACTGTAACATGGTCTCTGCAAAAGTTAGCGTTCAGCAAACTAGAGATTTGACTAATAAAAATGCGAACAAAATAAAGTATTCCTTTGCCACCTCTTGTCAGTTGTTTTTGGTGTTTTGTTATATTCCTGAAATCATTCACCTCTGGAAATCTTTGGCCAATTTCCTGAAGAACAGTTTATTCCAGAATTACAGAGTTATCAGAAGCAACAATAGATTCTACATATTAATTCTCCAGCAATTTGCCATTAATTAAAGCAATACCCTGCCTATGCCTGCCTGAAAGAGGGAAGAATGAACAGATCAAGAGGGAGATGATAATTTCCCTTCAAAACTTCCTTTCAAGATTTGAAGATTAAACACCCTTCTTCAGAGCAAGAAATTGCTGGAACCCCAAAGATCCATAAGATTCATTAGGGCTGTGAAGTAGCTTTACTTCACAGTAATACCTATCCTAAATATACCAATACCTATCCTAAAAATACATTTCAGGTCTCAACCTAGAACACTCACACACGCCTCCACGCACACACGCCCATACATGCCAACTATATACGTACATGTGTGCTGTGTGTTTATGTGGGAATGTATGAGAAATGGAAACATTTTAGAAAACACTACTTATCTTTACCATGTGAAATGCACCCTGATATTTTCCATGCTCTGCCCTTTCTTTTCTTCTCCTTTCTCCTGCTCTCTTCCTTAATGATAGTCATGATACCACCAATGGGTTTGCCCTGCTGTTTTGAAAAATGCTGAGGTAGGTATAAGATTCCAACTGTTTTGACTAGGAAAGAAGGGGAGAGGAATTGGAATTGGAAAAGAAGTTTGTTCACTAATTTTTCTTTCTTTCTTCCTCAGGCAGTAACTCCCTTTATTTGTCCACTGTCCATCTTGGCTAAGATAGTCTCCACATCTTGTAGAGAAGATTTTACTGGCTTAGAGGTTGATGTTTCGAAGCAAGTGAAACACTCAGCAGAATATACTGATAAACACATGAGTTTTTACTTCTTACCAGGTTGACCTTGCCTCCTCACTGTCTTGCATGAGGCATGCTCATTTCTGTTCAGTTGTCTTTATCTCCTAACCTGGAATCCTACCTACCCACTAAATTATTCTCTTTGCCTACTCTTCTTTCCTCCACAGGTCTGTGCTTATTTTCTCAGACCTTAAAGCTACTGAAGCTACAGGGAGAACCCTCCATTCCAGAGTGTTCTCCTCAGGCAGGTGCAATCCACTTCAAAGGAAAGAAGATCAATGCTGTTATTCATTTCAAAACTAATCTGTTATTTTTGTCACTTGTAAATGAACTAAGAGGCTCAAATGACCCAAGGTTCCCACAATCAACTTTCTTTATCCAACTAGCAAATTTCATTTTCATTGCAATTATTTTATTATGTGCAGTAAAAACATTCACAATTTTGTTTGCTGTTGATTGCCTAGCCTTGAAAAATATAAACTAAAGATGCCAAATTGTGAGCCGCTTTTCCTCACAGAGGGAAAAATTCACCCTAGACTACCTTTGTTGTGAAACATTTTGATCTCCATAAAGAAAAAATTTTCGACCCAGATTACAAGTGCTACCCAGCATCCTTCCCACACATATCTTATTAAAAATGTCTTCACTGGCTTTTTTTCTTTTTTAACCACCAAGCATTCTGCAAATGAACTCTTTCCCAAGACAACTCCATTATAAATATGATTTTTATGGTAAAATTATTAACCTCAAAGTTTTTATCCAATTCTCAAGCAAAGAACTGGTTTTATCCGAGTTATTCTGAGCATATTGTGATCCACTGAATGCCTGAAAGCAAGAAATCTACCAAAGACAAATCTGTCAAAAGGACCAATTTGAAAAAGATCTCCTATTGGGGCAATATGAGCATTAAAAAATAGTAATAATGGCAATAGGTTGAATCATATCAAATATATACAAATCCATCAGTTCCTAAAGATATTACAAAAATAAAATCATTGACCACTTCTAGAGTTTGCTGGGATGTCAATTCATTATTCTGAAAATTAATAAAGAAAAAAGCCACATTAAAATTTATTTGATCGCTTCTCAGCCTTTTGGCTAAGATCAAGTGTAAAATTAATTACTTGATGACATTTAATGCATATTTGCAGCCTCTGCATGACCAAAGTGAACTTAGCCATGTATGTGGTGTAAGACTTCAATATATTTTCCTATGATGTGAACTTTTGCCTTCTAATATGATTATGAAACTAAACTTGCCTAATTTTGCTTTTCCTATAGTTTCTTAAGAATGAAATTATTCATTATGGTCTTTTGTATTTGACTTGTTTCATGTGGCATCTTGTTTTTGGCATTCATTCATGTAGGGATATTTTGTTCCTTTTTATTGCTGAGTATTATTCTATTGCATATGGTTACCACAGTTTGCTTACCCATTCACTAGTGCTTTTCCTTTATCTGCTGAAATGATTTGTTTTTTACTTTATTCTATTAATATAGTGAATTACATTGGTTGGTTTTTAGATGTTAAACCAACTTTGAATTCCTAGGATAAACCTCACTGGTCATGATGTCTTATCCCTTTAAATGTTGTTGGGTTTGATTTACTAAAATTTTGTTCAAGATTTTTGTGTCTATGTTTATAAAGGATATTGGTCCATACTCTCTTTTCTTTTGAGATCTTACACTGGTTTTGTTATCAGGGTAAAACTGATCTCATAAAATAAATTCAGAAGTGTCTCTGCAATGTCAGTTTAATGCCTTGCAGAACTTTGAGAAATATTAAATTATGTCTATTTTAAATATATTTATTTAAATATGTTTCAAATATAATCTGTTCTGACCTTGTTCATTCTTTTTCTAATTTCCATAACAAACATCCTATTCATCTTCAAGCCTAGTTTGAAGTTGGCTGAATTAGTGAGTGATTTGTAATCACAGATTTTTAGGAAACGAAAGCTAAGTAACTTTTGAGATTATTGCCATTAGATATCTAGAAAGGGAAACTGAGACCCTTAGAAATTGCCACACTCTCCCAGAACAGGGTATCTTCTCACTCTTACAGGTCTCCATCACCTAACATTCATTACAAGCCTTTACGGGGTAGGAAACGTATCAAGTGCCTGCTGTGCATATACTTATACTATATAGTTGATGTGTCCAGCCTTACTCTTTTTCCTGACTATAAAGGCCCACACTGTTCCTACTGACAGGATCCAAATAGGGAGCAGCAAAACGATGAAACTCCAGGACCGTGTGGCTTGGGGGTTACTAGTTGAACTGGGCATGCTCAGTCACCAGGCAGATTTTTTTCGGTGAAGTGGAAACTACAACAGCGCTTACCGTGTGCGCTGAGGTGGGCGTGCCCTCGTGGAATTTAGAATGTTGCCGCAGCCAATGGGGCCTCGCGGCCGGCTGCCGGGGCTCCTCATTGGAGGAGCGGAGAGGCGAGCGAGTAGAGGGCCCCTGGAGGGAGCCGCGGAGGTGCAGGTCGGAGAGGCCGGGCTACGCCGTGCCCTGTGCGTGAGCAGCTGCGGCGGCGGCAACCAGCGGCGGTGTCTGCAGTTCCACCCCGTTGCTTTACTTTTTAGCTGCACGAACGTAGTCATTATGCCGAAGAGAAAGGTAAGTCTTACCAAAAAAGATTCAAAGGCCTTCAAATTGTGCTTACAGCAGATCTTGTCATTGCGGTGGATTGCGCGGAATGCGCTTGGTAGTAACTCGGCGTTTGCGAATCTCTTTGCTTCCCCACGCTTTTCAGATGCCTGTTGCGGACATTCCTCCTTCCCTCTCTCCCTCCCTCCGTCCTCATCGGTTTCTGCCTGATACTTTCTCTCCAGCGACGCGGCTTCCCTTCTTTCTGAACTCATGCTAGCTGGAATGGTTTCCACCTCGAACAACAAGAAGCAAAAGAGCTTTCCATTCGCCCTTCCAGGAGGGGAGTTTCCTCTTTGAAACTGCCGGGTTGTGATTAGTGTGGAGGGAAAGCAGTGACGGGGGCGGAGGGGGGGGAACAAGTCCATGCATAGGGAGGCCGAAAAAAAAAATAAGTCGGGCAGATGTTGGGGTTATTCCCAGGTGGGCCTAGCCCACGGCTGGGCGCGTCGCGTCGGCTCTGAGGCCAAGGGAAGGGAAAGCCATGTTTAAAATAGCACTCACCCCCCTGCTCGCCTCCGCTGCAGACCCGTATGTACCAACTCCCGTGTCAATCAGGGCTGGGGACGGCGCAGGCGGGGCCGGGCGGCCGGGACCTGCCGGCAGTTCGCGGCGGGAGCGGCGGAGTTAGCCACGCGCAGGACGGGACAGCGCCGGTGGCGCCCACCGTGGCTTGCCGAGGAATGCGGCCAGCGGGTCCGCTCCGGCGACCCAAGCCCGCACGCAGTCGGGGCAGGCGGGGTGCGCGTGCTCCCGCGCCCCTCGGTACCCACAAGGAACCGGGGACATTTTCGTCCCGGCTTCAGCTCCTTGGGGACTGTTACGTCCCCTTCCGCGCGGGGCCGGGACACGAAGTATCTAGCTCCGCGGTGCATGTTTCCCTCGGGGTCATGGTCCTGGGGAGGGAAGGGAAGGTTTTCCTTCACCCAGAGGAAACCGGTGTGTGGCGGCTGTAACCTAAGAAAATGTTTTGCACCCTCCCACTGCCTGCCAGGAGTGTAAATCAGTGTGTCTTAAATTTGAGGCAAAATTACAAATAATATCCTGCTTTATCAGTTAAAGACTATGGCCTGATTTGTGGCATTATTTTATAAAAATAGAGAAGCTTTTGCTTTCTTACCCGCCATTACTAAGAATTGGATGGGAACTTGTCTCCTACACTTTTTAAAAAACACAACAAAAGTTTGTTGTGTTTTTTTTTTTTTTTCTTAATCTTACAGTTTATTGTGCACATACTGTGTGCTTCATACTGTGGGAAGAGTTTGACTTGTATTATTTTATTTACTCCTCGGTACATCTTGAGAGGTGTTAACGCCATTGAACTAGGGTTTGAATACCTGAGTTCCCCAACGTTTCACCAACCAATAAGCTAGTACCAAAGATTTAGTGGTGGGCGGGTCAAGTCGAATTTAGGAAATGCAAAGAGATTAGGAACCTGAGAAGATGGATGGCATATTAGGAGTGCTAATACTTGGGATTCATTATTTAAATTTGTTTATGAAAATACTGCTTTCCAGGCCTGTTTTACTAGAACTAGGGTATTTAAAATGATACCACCATTTTCAACATTTATCTGAGGATTAATGACTACGTTGGGAATTCTAGTAGAGTCAAAAGAACCAGTCATCAAGAGATGAGTGATGGAGTGAATTTGTGCCATCCCTTTTCCTGAGAATTATTAGCAAATTTAAATGAACAGTAACTTAGATGTGCACAAACCTATTATTAGACCCTGATGTGCTGGAGTCCTTGTTGTTATTGAAGGGCCAGAGTTGGTGAAACCATTACTCTTACTTGCTCTCATTGTCCATCTCTCTTAAGGAAACAGGGGAAGGAAAGAACAGTACTGGCTTTTGGTTATTTTATTTCTCTGGAAGGCAGGGAGTTCCTGTGAAGAAGCTAGCCAGGCATCCTGGGACTAGGGGCAGACTTGCATACAAGCACCTGAGTGTCATCCCTCAGGACATCAGCATGTTCTTCAGAGATGGAAAACCTGACCTTGATTAATAGGAAGGCTTTTCATTTATACCTGGAGCCCAAAGTTGATACCTGGACAGAAGCAGCCACAAATTTAACATAGTTACCACGCCATCCTATCTATCAGTCACACCTTAGAGCTGCCTCATGGAATCCTGGAGGCCACTGGAGCTTACTGGTAAAGCCTGCCTAGATGCAAAGAAAAGACCTGAAGACAATCTGTGCCTAGCACGTCAAGAGCTATAAAGCTGGGGCACCTGCTAAAACATTTATATACTACTCCACGTTATTTTTCTTGACTAAAGGACTGCCTGTTTTACATTAAAATAAATTTTTTAAAAGTGCCCCCGGAATACTTTTTTGCCGTCTTGGCCCCCTTTTTTCAACTTTTTTCCAGAAATCAAGAAAAGTTATTTAATAAACACCTGTTTAGGCTGTTCTGCAGAGTAAGATCTGGAATCCTAGCACTGCTTTAATGTCATGGGGATACATAGTTCACTCTCATGGAGCTTATATTCAATTCATTGAAGATGATAAGAGTAGCAGGCACAAAGCACTTGAGTAACATTAAGACTATATATATATATATATATATGTGGAATATACATATATATACACAATATATATGTATATATATTCCAGAATATACAGTTTAGGTATAGATTCTAAACGCTGTAGGACTTTTAGGAAAAGAAGGTTGAATTTGGGTGGATCTTGCAAGTGTAGGTAGGACTCAAATATATACAGAGAAAACCAGAGTCATTTTCTGTTATCAGGCATTTGAATGCCTCTTCTGATTGTATCTTAATATAAGCAGGCCTCAGTTAAACAACTTAAAGGCCATAATACCCACATTAATATAAAACGTTCTTTTATTAATCAACTCAGTTAAACAACTTAAAGGCCATAATACCCACATTAATATAAAATGTTCTTTTATTAATCATATCTTTGTTTTATCTCTATCTTTGTGTATGATAATTTTATTAAACCAAATGGTTTTTTTTATAACTGTAGTAGAATTTTTTGAAGCAATATGCACTCAACAGTAAGGAGTTCTTTAGTTAACATTAGATCTCTTTCTGAGTTTGCTAAATTTGAAAAAAGTTCAGTTTCCAGTATTTATTACCTAATGGGTGATGGGCCACCCACCACTTTTTAGTAGAGAGTGGGATAGCAGGGAAAATGATAATATGCATGAATGCAGGTGGTGCTGAGATCATGAGTGACTGAGTTCTAGACTGTTCTGGTCAGACAGCCATGAATGCCTGCTGTGGTCACATTATTATGTGATGATATGATGTTCTACAAAGAGAGATCAGCCAGTGAGGCCTAGAGTCATGGTCCTGGCATGATTAGCAACAGCAAACACATTTTCACATCTTTTTTTTTTTTTTTTTTTTTTAATTTTTCCAGTACCTCATCACTGGAACTATTGGAAATGTCTAGTGTATCACATCAGAAATACACTAATGAGGCAATTTTCCATGAATTTGGGGTGTAAACATTAGTGTCTCTTTACACTCAAAGGCTTAAGGAAGAAAAGGCTGTCTGCCTCTTTGAAATTTGAAATTAGGTTTTATCTCTTAAAGTGGAGAGGCCTAGTAGTTCTGGACTGGGCACAAGGGATGCTTAACTAACAATATTCAAGGTTTCTGATTAATGTTTCAAAAGAATATCACATGTCATAACACCAGAGACAGACTCTATAAATGAAAATACAGATGGATGTGACTTCATGACTTCACGACTTCAGTATGACAAAAACCCATTGTTAACAAAATCTAGAAACTTAGGAAAAACTGGGAAAAAGTATTTGTATCACATATCACTGAAAAAAGTTTGCTATTTTAAAAAGATAGAGTCTCACATGTCCTTATGGAAAAGATGTATATCCTTATAAGAAAATAGCAGACTCAAATAGATGAAGTGTTCAGTTTTGCTAGAGATCAAAGAAATGTATATTATTAAGAATAAGGAGATGTGATTTTTTAAAGCCAATTTGGTAAAAAATATTGGAAGTATCACTGCCAAGTGCTGAATGATACTGACACCCCATAGCAACAATCAAGCAGTGTGGATGGGAGTACAATTTCACTCTAAAAAAAAAAAGGCCTTATTTGAGTATGATCTACTTACCATAATGTCCATTCATCTATTCAAAGTGTGCAAATCAGTAATTTTAAGTAAATTTATAGAGCTATGTAACATTACCATAATTACCATTTCCATCACTCTGAAAAGGTTTCTCGAGTTGTTTGCATCCAGTCTCTGCTCCCATCCCAGTTCCAGGCAACCACTAATCTCCTGACTCTATAGATTTGCCTTTTCTGGAAATTTTACATAAAAGGAATCAAAGAGTACACAGCCTTTTGTGTCTGGTTTCTTTCAGCATAATGTTTTTGAGGTCCATACATGCTGTAGCATGAATCAGTACTACTTTCTTTTCTGTTGCCCAATGATATTCCATCGTTTATCCTTTCACAAATGGGTGGACATTTGGATTGTTCTGGTTTTCAGTTATTATGAATAATGATGCCATGAATATTGATCTGTAAGTCTTTCATGGGCATATTTTCATTTTTCTTGGGAAGTTTCCTAACCATAGAACTGGTGGGCGGTATGACAGTCTGTTTTTAACATTTTAAGAAACTTTCAAACTATTTTCCAAAGTGATTGTACATACCATCAGTGGATGAGGGTTCCAGTGTCTCTACATCTTTGCTCATACCTGGTATTGTCACTTCTTATGCTTATAGCCATTCTAATAAATTTAATTTACATTTCCATAATAACTAATGACGAGCATCTTTTCATGTGCTTACTAGCATAATGTATCTCTTAGGTGAAATGTCTATTCAGATATTTTGCCCATATTTTAACTAGGTTTTTAGTCTTACTGAGTTGTTAGAGTTCTGTAAATACTCCAAATACAAGTCCTTTATTAGCTGTATGGTTTGTAGATACTTTCTTCCAGTCTGTGACTTTGTAAA